TCTCAAGTCAAATCATAATAGAATTTGCTATTGTCAAAAACTCTACAATTTTTTCAATGGAAGTTTATAAATTCACCAAGTTTGTTATGAATTCTCTTTCTAATGGAAGATTTGAAAACATATATTTCCAATTCTAATTTTTAGAATGATAGTTTTGTTCAATTAAAAATCTCACATAATTTAGTTTGTTTTACCTATGAGATTCACTATGCACTTTCACATAAAAAAATTGAATAGATCTTGAATAAATCCTCATATCAATTTGCAAAAGATTTGAAGTGAACTCACAAATTGAACTCCCTGTGTTTCTTTGTCTCCATAAACCTAAATTGTTTTTTTCTTCTAATTTATTTTTATTTCTTAATTGTGTTAAATATATTTCTTATTTTAACATTTTAATAGGCATAACCCACACCTATATATTTGGGTTACGTGAATAAAAATTTTGGGTTATACTAATAAAACAAAATAATTGGGTTATGTGACAAATTTGGTGGATGTGACTAATATCACCCAAAAAAAACTCTATTATTGTATATGAGAAATTGAGTTGAGTTGGTAATCTTTTTTATTTATTATTTAAAATAAAGTTGTTGGGCATAGACCATAGTTTTGGTGCCATGATATAAAAGTTTATTTATATGCATTTTTTATTTTTAATAATTTTCGAGGCCAAAGGCTGCATCACAATCACACTCCCTAGAGGTTACATCTGAAATTAGGCCCAAGGTTTTCTATATGCTTTGTTGCTACCTAAATATCCACCTCGATCACCAGAGTAGCTATTCTAAAACTAGTCCACGTAAGATTTATATGAGAAATCCTCCTAAATAATGTTAAAAAGAGTTGAACTCACAACCTTTCATTTGTGAAAGTGTTTGAGTCTTTGAGAGGGATAACATACCAACTGAGCTAGCAAAATGCATGATGTTATGATATTTGAAATTAAGGAATTATTGTACAATCTTAATTATCTAGACTTGGCAAAAAAATTTAATGCGTGTATCTTCTTCTGTGTGGGGCGTATGGGCCCAATCATAACATACTACGTGTTTATAAAATAGTTATGAAACTACATTTTTGCCACTAAGGTTCACTGAACCCATACATATATAGGTTATATTTTTATTTACACGTGTCATCTTTTAATTAGGCCCATATGCCTACATACAATTAACAGATAAAATTTTCTACTTGACTTAATGACAAAGAAACCATAGTTGAAAATGCCGCAAAATTTCGTGAATATCCGACGGAATATTTCGGTTTTTGGGCATACGAAACGATACGGAACACGGATTATTCTTGATATATTAACCGCACCAATTCCAGACGAAATGTTCGGAATTTACGGATATTCGCAGAATCTATCGGAATTTATCGGAATATATACTTATTTATTAT